TGTGTTTTAGCCACTAAGGAGAGGTGTGATTTAATAAGAGAGGATGATAAATCACTCAATAGACCTCTAAAAAATGTGTCCCCCTCTCTTCTGAGATGATGGTTACACCCTTGAGTGAAGGCACCAGCTAAATATCTGGTTTTCTCCTGCTTTTGTTAAACTGTCTGTTGGAGCTCTTGCGCTGCACAGAGGCTGCCTGTCACTGTGAACATGAGTTGAGATCTTCTCCTCATTGGTCAGTCAGCATGAGGCAGGTCAGGTGACTGAGAGGGTTGCTTAATGTCAAGCTTTGCTTTTGTGTAAATGGAGGACACTTCCCTCGATCTCAGTGTAGTGGGTCATGTTTACCAGATTATACTGATGTGTTTTGTTTTTATAGCATCATGTGAAGGAGTGTCCTTGACAAGAGGACATATATTTGTTGTTCTATGAGCATTTGTACATCAAAATACCCTTAGAATCTGAAGTATTGAGTATATTTACTATATATTGCAATAATTTACTCTGTATTTTGCCAGACTATTGTAATCCTGGGGTCGTGATGATGAGGCCCTTGAATATTGTTGCCCAGGGTACAACCAAGTGTTAATCCGGCCCTGTTCACACCTCCACAGCCCTCAGTGTTTGGATGAAGGTGAACCACAGCAGCTGCTGCAGCTCCTGTTCTGAGTGTGAGTGTGTTGGGTTAACGAGAGGAACATGTCGCTGCGCTCCTCTCTGAGGAACAAAGCCTGAGAGCTCATCACAGTCCGTGAGCAGCAGAAGCCCTTCACTTCCTGCTTTGTCAAATGCAGAGCAACACCGCCACGGTTGGAGCCTTCACTTCAAAACCCCACAAGGTCACAGTCAACAGGCTCTCATCTGTCTCCTCTTCCTCACGTTCTCCACATCCACATGTGAGCACCTCCTCATGCTGTCCATTCACTGAAACAGCTTCATCACTCAGGAAATTATGAATCRTTCCTCGTTTTACCTTAAATGGTTTTTAGAAACAGAAAAACAAAATGCTTTTGCCAAATAATTACTGAGTATTTCATATGAAATGACTGGACCCATCGTGGACCCGCTCGTCATGGAGCTGACAGGCTACGCTGTGAGGATGAGGATGTGAGCTTGATGACGCCTTCGTCCTGTCATATGAACAGGAAGCTGTTGATAAGGAGCTGCAGGTTTTCAAAGTTGTAGAGAATAATTTGTCTGTTAGCATAATATGATGGTCTCCATATCTGTTTGACCTCAGTGAAATCTACAGACATGAAGCTGAAACAGGAGGCTTCCAGGCTCCAGCTTCTCCTGTTCCCTGAGGATGAGGAAGATGAAAYTCCTCTTCCTCCCCCACCCCTGTTTGTTCCCTTTCAGTCGTCCCAGGGTCCCAACCTCTATCAGGCCCAACAGATTGAATTGTTTTCCACCTGCAGCAGACACCGAGGCCAGGAGGGGGAACACATTCAGTCAGATGCACCTAGGAGTTTCTCACGTGCCAGATTGCTTCAGCGCCGCCGTCAGCGCCGAGCCAAGAGGCCGCTGGAAGGATTTCTGCACTGGTGGATGCAGCACGAGGGGATATTTTCATGCTCCATCCATCTGGCGCCACGTTTTCATGTTTTCTGATGAGCCGAACAGCCCAAAGAAAGCTGTTTGTCATTTTAGAGCCGCACTGTCGTCTGTGCCTGAGACAGGCCGTGTTGTGCTTAATTAAATCCATCACGGCCTCAGAGCAAATTTCTTTATTGACCCAGAGCAAACTAGTAAACATGTTGATTGTACTTCCACAGTTAAACAGCTCTCAGTGAAGTCCTGATCGACTGCCCGAGTACAAGAAGTCTGTTAGATCCTGAACMGGTGCACAGATGGAACCAGCTTTTTTTTTCTGTTTTTGAAAAACAAACCTTTGGCTCCTGCTGTTAGAGAAAATAAGTGTGAGGCTCAGCAGCAAATCATGCCGGACGCTTTGTTCACTTGATTCAAGCAGGTTTCTGAGAAAAACAATCCTGGGAACATCGAACTACGTCAATTAGTTGAACAAGAACAAGCAGAATAACTACACTTTAATGTCCCTGATGTAAACTGCGTGTCATCAGTATATAGATTTAACAAAGGAAAAGATGACACTGTGTTGTAGCATTCACAAGCAGCTGTTTCCTTTAAGTAAAGGAAACTGTTCTGCAGTAACAAGATGAGACGTTTTCATGAGTACTATCATTTATTCATTGTTTGGATGGATGGATGGATGGATGGATGGATGGATGGATGGATGGATAGATGGATGATGGATGGATGC